TCATTTATTGACAATATTTCATAGAAGCAGAATGTTAGTTGCTGTGGTTCCCCTGCTTTACCTGTGACAGATTAGGGTGCTAGGTCTGTGCTGTGTCAAGATTGATAGTAGTCTTATGTAGAGTTTAGATTATGGTTTGAATAAGGATGATCCTGCCTCAGGCAGGGGGTTGGAGTAGGTAACCTCTGGAGGTCGCTTCCAGCCCTACTTCTCTCTGATTCTATGAGGTGATCATTGCCGTAAGAAGGAAAGACTTGCAGGAGATGGAGAGAACAAAAAGTCTCTTTCAGGTCTGAAAGGCACAAAATAGATAAGCCTTAGGTTTATCTCACCAGTAATCTGTTCCAGCCAGCCACATAGTGAAATAGTTCTTCCTAATCATAGTATCATAGTACTTAGGGTCAGAAGGGACCTAAACAGATCATCAGGTCCGACCCCCTGCCCCGGGCAGGAATGGATGCCAGGATCATATCACCCCAGCCAAATAACTGTCTTGCCTCCTCTTGAAGACTCCCAAGGTAGGAGAGAGTACCACCCACTTGGGAGCCCATTCCAGAGCCTGGCAGCCCTAACTGTAAAGTAATGTCTCCTGATGTCTAGCCTGAACCTTCTCTCTAACATTTTGTGACTGTTATTCCTAGTAACCCCAGGTGGTGCCTGGGGGAACAGAGCCTCCCTCAATTCCCGCTGGTTGCCCCTGGTGAGTTTGTAAATGGACACCAGATCCCCTCTCTTGTGGAGGCTGAATAGGTTCAAGTCCTTTACCTTCTCTTCATAGGGCTTGCCCTGCTGCCCCTTGACCATGTGAGTGGCCCTCCTCTGGACCCGCTCAATGCTAGCCACATCCCTCTTGAAGTGTGGCACCCAGAACTGGACACAGTACTCCAACTGTGGCCTGACCAAAGCCACATAGAGGGGAAGGATCTCCTCACTGGACCTGCTTGTGATGCATCTGTAGATGCACGACAAGGTGCGGTTAGCCTTACCAACTGCTTCCTCACATTGGCGGCTCATGTTCATCCTGGAGTCAACAATGACTACAAGAACCCTTTCTGCCACTGTGTTGACAGGAAGAGTTTTCCCCAGCCTGTAGGTGTGTTTCTGGTTCCTTCTTTCTAGATGCAGCACCTTGCACTTGTCTGCATTGAATTCCATCCTATTCTCATCTGCCCACCTCTGTAACCTGTCTAGATATAGCTGGATTCTGTGTCTCCCCTCCACCATGCCCAGCTCGCCCCACAACTTAGTGTCGGCAGTGAATTTGGACAGCGTGCATTCCACACCCACATCCAGATCACTGATAAAGATGTTGAACAGTACAGGCCCCAGGACCAAGCCCTGGGGGGCTCCACTGCCCACATCCCTCCAAGTCAAAAATGACCCATCCACCACCACTCTCTGGGTGTGACCATCCAGCCAATTTCCCACCCATCTGACTGTGTAGATATCAATGCTGCAGTCACCAAGTTTTTTTAAGACCATGTGGTTGGAAACCATGTCAAAGGCTTTCTTAAGGTCCAGGAAGACGACATCCACCCCAACACCCTCATCCAGGGACTTTGTGACCTGATCATAAAAAGAAACCAGGTTAGTCAGGCAGGACCTGCCCTCAGTGAACCCATATTGGTTGCCCCTGAGCATTACCTCCCCTACTGGGCCCTTGCAGGTGTGCTCCTTGATAATTTTCTCAAAGATCTTCCCAAGGACCGAGATAAGACTGACTGGCCTATAATTGCCAGGGTCTTCTTTTCTCCCCTTCTTGTAAATGGGGACCACACTGGCCCTTCTTCAATCCTCTCGTACCTGGCCAGTGCCCCACAAGCGCTCATAGAGCTTTGCCAGTGGCCCTGCTATGACCCCCGCCAATTCTTTCACCACCCTTGGGTGAAGAGCATCTGGACCTACAGATTTAAACATGTCCAACCCCTCCAAAAGTTCCCTAACTAGGTTGTCCCTGACCCTAGGCATGGTGGTGCCTCCCCTGGGTGCATCCGCAATTCTAGTGGGGGAGATGTCCCGGTCCCTGTTCAGGAATATGGAGGCAAAGAATTCATTAAAGAGGTCGTTTTTTTCGTTTGCTGCAATCATCAGATTGCCAAGCCTGTCCTGTAGGGGCCCCACATTACCCGGTACCTTCTTCTTACTTCCTATGTATTTGAAAAAGGACTTTCTATTATCCTTAATTCTGGTCGCTAGCCCCAGCTCCATCTCAGCCTTGGCCTTTCTAACAGCCATTCCTGTGGTCCCCAAGCAATGAAGGTGTAATCCCCCTTGGTGATAGCCCCTTGCTTCCACTGTTTGTACACCTCCTTTTTTGTCCTCAGGCACCCCTGGATGCCTTTGCTGAGCCATGGGGGCTTCTTAGCACTCCTGCCCCGCTTGGCGCGCATAGGCACTGACTCCCTTTGAGTTCAAAGGATCGTCTCCTTGAGGAACAACCACCCATCTTGGACTCCCATCTCATTGAAGCTCCAAGATCCCAATGCCTCTCCTACTAACCTTCTTAGTTTACAGGAGTCGAGCCTCCTAAAGTCAAAGACCTGTGCTTGCTTTCACCACCCTGCACTGGATAGTAAATTCCAGCAGGCAATGATCACTATCATCCAGGTGGTTGATCTGCAGATCCCTCACTAGGCCGTTGCCTGTAGCAAAGACCAAGTCCAGCAAGGCATTTCACCTGGTGGGATTATGCACCTCCTGGGTTAGGTGGAGGTCCTGTATCCTGGCTAGGAATCTATGTGAGCGGTTGGACCTGGGTGACTGCTCCTCCCAGCAGATGTCTGGGTAGTTTACATCACCCATGACAACCAAATCCCTTGACTTACAGTCTCTGTGAGCTGACCTGAAAATTCCAGGTCCAACTCATTCCCCTGGTGAGGCGGTCTGTAGTAGATACCCACTATCAAGTCCCTTTCCCATTGCCCCCCTTGCATTCTTACCCAGAGCACCTCATTTTGCCCCTCCTCTGACCCCATCCTGATCATTGAGGACATGTATTACTCTTTGACGTACAGTGCTATACCCCACCCCCCTCTTTTCCCTTCTCTGTGTCACCTGTACAGCCTGTGTCTCTCGATGTCCGTAGAATCCCACCAGGTTTCCATGAGCCCCACTAGGTCTGGGTTTTTGCTAGCTGGCAGGAGGGCGAGTTCCTCCTGCTTATTCCCCATGCTTTGAGCATTTGCGTAGAGTCATTTGAGGCCTCCTGTAGGTGTCTGTGCCTCCCCTTGTTCCTAAGCCTGCCCTGGCCCCTGTCACTTAGCTGGGTACTACCTGTGCCCACCACCTGGCTAGAAGGTGAAGTGTCATCGTGTTCCTCTGTGTCCCCGTCCCCTGGCAAACCTAGTTTAAAGCTCACCGTAGGAGATCAGCCACCCAAGCATGTCCTCTGTGCAGAAATGCAGGTCATGGTCCAAGAACTCAAGGCCCACCTGGTAACACCACCTCTGAAGCTGCCAGTTGACCTCGCTGATGAATGTCTTGTGGCACCGTCCACGTCTGCTCACTGGAAGAATATAAGAAAAAAACACCTGTGCCCCAACCTAAAGGTTAACCTACAAGCTAAATTTCCCTTGCTGTTATTTAAGACCATTGCTCCTAGCCCTGTCCCCTGTGGCCGCAGAGTTTAGACCATCCTATATATAACCAGCATTTAGGTGGTATTTGGAGACTTCTCACAAATTCCCCCCTCAGTATTCTCTTCACCAAGCTGAAAAGTCCCAATTCCTTCAGATGTTTCAGGCTCGCATCTCCTAAGCAATGTTATCATTACTGGAGGGCATTTAGCGATCACCCCTAACAAAATGGATCTTATCATTCATTACATAATGCTAAAATGTTGAAAAAAAAGTGTTTCAGATACAAAAACTTTTAAAAGTTTCATTCTGATACTTTCTTGCTAATACACAAACTGTAACTTAACTACCCAGTCACTCATCTATTGTATCAAAACTCTTTTGTTCTTAAAATGTGTCTTCCATGTATTTAGTTGATTTTAAACACAGTATAACCTCATGAATCTGTCATGCGTGGGACCGAGCACCTGCTGGAAATGCGAAAATTCTGAATTTTTGAAACCAGAGTGGCGGCTGGTCCTGGAGCAGTGACCTCACATGGAGCAGCAGCGCAGGATAGTGAATGGTGGCAGCAACCGCCACGTGTAAGCTCCCCCCTCTGCTGCTCTGGAACTGGCAGCCGCTACTCCCCGATGGAGTGTAATTTTAAAAAGTGCCGGATTTTCGGTAATTCCAGATTTTTGATATCTGGATCTATGAGGTTATACTGTACTGGCCTTAACATTTTGTCCTTAATGATCATCATGAAAAAGTGAAAGCAGACAGAAGAAATGATTGTGCTAGCTTTGTGTCAGTAGGAATTCAATTCTGCTCTTGCCTTGAAGGGAGCCAGGATTTTACTTTTAATTTTTATATCACAGATCTTTATAAGAGACTTTGGCAGGACTGAGATCAACAATTTGGATCGATTTCCAGACATGGATGTCCTAACAAAATGTTTGAATCCTGCATTCAGACACACAAATTGGTACACAGGTACAAAATGTGACACTGGTGCAGATGTAGGTGTCAATCTGAGTATGCCTAATCCTGGATTTGGATCCCCTTGTTGGATACTTAATTTTGAATGCAGGACTAATAATGTGCTTGGGCCTCACATGCTTTCCTGCTGAAGTGAACGTTGCACAGTTGGAACTGCTCAATGGAAGAATCAAAGAAAATTGCTTGCTATGCCACTTTTGTGCTTGGTTTTTCCCTCAATAACAATAGTCACAACAGCATTACCTGTTCTTCCATCTAATGAGAGCATTTCTGTAGCAGTTTCATTAGTTCCTGCTGCAGAAGAACCATTGTATTCAGCTCCTAAGGAAGGATTCTGCTTCAAAAAGAGAGCAGATGTTATGATTCATTCTCTCTCTCTCTTTTTTTAAAGCTCACCAAACCTGAAAAACCAAAACAGACAAGAACAGCCTCTAGAAAACATAGCAGGCAGTACCAAGAAGGCTTCAAGTGAAATGCCTAATCCCCTACAGAGTATTTTTAAAGCAAGAGAACAATAATGATCTTCAAATGGCATGCAGCATAGTATGTATACAAGTGCCTTTACCTAGTACTGAAAAAATATCTTTCTTGTGTCATTGTTGTGTTTGTTTCCTATATGTAGATGGATACACTGATAAAGCCTACATTGATGCATGTTTAACTTGTAATTAATTGAGGTGCTGTAGACTAACTTTCTTTGATCAGTATTTATTCTTTCCTCTGCTTTGAAAGAAGATTTGCAATCTTTGGCTGCATCCAGACGTGTGTGGACGTTTGGTTCCCTGGTGTGCTGCTGCTAGTTGTCCCCAGGGAACATCTGTGCCGCGTACCCTCTGGCACATGGCAAGTTACCCCGGTGGGATAGGGGAGGCTGGGGCCAGCACTGGGCTGGCCCCAGCACCCTTACCTTAGGTTCTGGAGGCCTCCCAGGACTGCAGCGGTGGTGATCCTGCCACGTGGGGCCTGGCCGGCAGTACAGTGTGGCTCCAGCTGGCCAGGCTCCGGCTTTGGGCAGCACACACTGCTACCATATGCACCACTGTGTTTTTGTTTCCCGTAGTTTTTTTGACCCCTGGATCTCTAGGGGTCAAAAAATCCTCCATACTGCTCCCTTGCAGCAGATATGTCTGCAGCACCACATACCGCACAGCTACATTTGTCTGGACACAGCCTCTGTGACAGACAGACGGGATGGTTGGTTCATGTTCATTTTTCTTTTGCAGGAAATCCCCAATTTACAGGAAAAGGATCTTTGAAAATGGAGGGGGATAATAATATTTGGTCTGCAGTGTTCAATTCTCTCACCCCTGTAGTCCATGGTTCTTCTTTAGCCAAAGTTTCATATTTTATAGGAACTATAAAATGAGTGGAATGGTGAGGTGAGTCAAATAATCTGGGTAATGTACGTTGTTTAGCACCAAGAAATACCTCATAAATACCATGAGATAATGTATCACCCATAAAAAAAACCCATTTAAAGTGTATATTTTGGGTGCAGTAGTGACCTCACAATTACAGAATTGACTTCAGTGCAGGCAAAAAGTTATTCTTCAGTTAAGATAGTTGTCTATCATCTGAACTTTCCATCACCTGAGTCCCAAGCACAGAGCAGATACAGAGGTCTCCTGTCCCCATACTGCACTATGCCTGACCATGCTTAAAAATGAACTAGTGAAGGACAATTGGAATATGCATGAATAAGGGGCTAATATATGCCTTATTCCCATACATGGAAGGATAGAATTTGGCATGCATTTCCATGCATTTACCTCTCTCTTATTTACATGCAGTTTGTTGGTTTAGGTCATCAAGAGCATTTGGGACCCAGGCCATGGTTTTTCCTTCTCCCACAACCTATGGAATAGACGGCTACAGCAGCAGCATCTGGCCCCACTACATACTTCATAGGGGATGGACCTATGAGCTTTCAAACTGCCTTAGGGGTAGCATGTGAAGACATTTGCTGAGGGAGTTGTTATTATACTGTCTGTTACTCTGAGTTCTTTTGCATTCACCTTTTGATATTTTAGAATATCCACAACAGGTTTAGTGCAAATTTCTCTCTAAAGCATTTAAGTAGACCTCTCTGAAGTTGGGGAGGGGGCATTCTCATTCAGCAGTATGTCTTGTCTACAAAGCCAGTTACTGTCCACCAAGATGGGAGCATTTCATGACGTGTAAGTCACTTTAGCAACTTTTTTGAATCCCAAATACTAATTAAACTTCTGTAGACTTTGTGCTTGCAGCAAGAGAATGGATCATTAGCTAAGAGCATATACTTCAGAGCCACAAAATATGCATTTATTGTTATGCTGGATGCATCACAGGGATTGATGTTGCCATCATTCAGATTAAATAATTTAGTACTGACTAAGGGCCTGATCCTTGTCTCCAATGCTCAGTAGAGCTGATTTGAAATTTTCCAGTAAAACAATGTTTTTGCAAAACATGCCAGTTAGTTGGGCTCTGAATGTTTTGTTTTAAATAGACCAGGTTTGAAAATATCCTCATATCCACAGCAAGCTGGCACTGATTGGAACAAAAACAGAGCATCTGATTCTACTGCTGAATGGTACTAATGGCTGCAGATTATCATAGGGTAATTTTATGGAATCCCCTTCCCTTATCATCTTGGAGACACAATACTGTGCTTCCCCCCCAATGCTAGCTTTTAACCTGGGGGAATCTGTCTGAAGTTGCTGCTTCAGTCCCGTTGAGCTGATCAGATAGGCAGACTGGGCCTGATTTCAGCCATGGCCTCCTGCCTCAGTATATCTCTCTCTTCTCTTGTTGATCAGGTAGGAGTCTGCTTCATGGTGCTCCAGCTCTTCTCCTGCTTGGTCTGTGACTGCAGAGTGGAAATAGTTCATCTGGCTCCAAGGGAGAAGTTCAATGCTGGCATCTTGCCCAGTCAGACTTCCAGCTCTTTGTTTCCCCAGAAGGTGGTTTGGGTATGAATGGGAATGGAGAAAAAGCTATCTGTGTGGAAGGAGCCTTGAAAACAAAAGAGTTCAGCAGGGAAAAGGGAACTTGTACATCTGGGACTCCTAGAAGGGCAGTTGAGCATTACTGTGCCCCTCAACTTTGCTGACAAAGATTTTTTTTTTACTGATCACCATCATGACGGTAGTAGCTAATAGCCATTGAGAAATAGTTGACTGGCAATATTAAGGTTTCCTTTGTTTCATGGAGGCCCCCCCCCTTTTTTTTTTTACAGTAGAAGTGGGACTTTTTAAGCTACAGCTGGGATCAAGCAGAACAGCCCTACATTAGGAGAACATTAAGGGAGTGTGCCAAATGCTACAATATACGAAGAGTGGGGAAGACTGGGAGTTGCTTACTGTTTTTCTTTTTTTGCCTTTTTTGTGTCTGCCAACTCAGTCCAGCACTTATAGTTCAGTTTTCCTTCTGTGCTCCCTACCCTTCCTTTCTGTACTCTGGGTTTTTATTCTGCAACGTTAATTTTTGGAAGTACAGATGTCAGAATTGTATCTTGTAAGGGTTCCTTTGGTGAGAAGTCTCTCAAAGCAGCTGTTGTCCGTACACCAGTACTCCATCAGGATCACTGTGCTGTATTTGTTTACTGCATTCTAGAAATCTGATTGCCTATTTTGTTCATTTTCTCTCTACTGCTGAAAGATTTTAAAGCAAAGTTTCTTAGAGGCTGAGGAAAGACATTGCTTTTGCATGAAGCAAGCCTGTGCAAATAGAGAGAGTGTTTAAAAAGGAATGCTAATTATTGTTTGCACATTTAAAAGCCACATAATGCATATGCTTTTTTTTTGTTTCGTTAATGGACTGAAAATGTACCAGTTGTTTGTCTATTTAGATATGGAATGTTTTAAGTAGGATGTTGCTTCCAATTCTGGTGTCAATGTTTTAGCAAGGATGTTGAAAACTTGGAATAGGTGCAGAAAAAAGCCACAAAAATTATTTGAAGGTTGGAAAAATGCCCCGAAGTTAAAGTTTTAACAAATTGAATCAGTTTAGCTTATGAAAATTGAGAGGGGACAGGATTACCATGTATCATTACCTTCACTGGGAGAAAATACTGGTACTAAAGAGCGCTTTGATCAAATGGAGAAAGGCATAACACAAATCAGTGCTGGAGGCTGAAGCCAGACAATTAAATTAGAAATTAGGCACAAACTTTTAACAGTCCGGGTGATTAACCACTGGAACCAAATTATCAAGGGAAGTGGTGGATTCTCCATCTGTTCATGTCTTTAAATCAAGACTGGATGCCTTTGTGGGAAATATACTTTAGCCAAACTTAAGTGATCAGGCTCAATGCAGGACAACAGAGAGAAATCAAATAGCTTCTGATGTACTAGAGGATCTAGTGATTCGTTTGAATATTAGTAATTAAAAACAGATATCCCTGACCTATAGGACATTAGTTATCCTCTCATCAATATATTGGAAAATTGGGCCCATAATCATCATCCGAACAAAGTAGTAAACAATTTGTCCACTACTCAGAACAAGTTCTTTCACTGAAACTTAGTGGATAGTTGGTGGAGGCAAAAATCTTCATGATGGCATAGGCAAGGAGTATGATTTTAGAAACCATTGGCCCTGCAATCATTCACATTTGGCATGAAACTACTGACACCATAGATTGTCCATTTTTGTTGTCTTTTATGTACCGTGTTAACCTCTGAAGAAAAGCCAGTAAAGAGGGAACCTGGTGGCTACTTATGAAAGGTTAATAATGACACATTCCTTCCAAGGCATCGGCATTGAATTTTGTTGGGGTTGCAATGTTCTTTCCCAAGTACTCCAGAACTCTCAGAGTTTGTTAGGTTTCAAGGGCTGTTCAAGTGTGCTCTTCTGGGTGCGAGAGAAAGTCTAAGTGGTGCAAAAGCTGACAATGTGACCGCTGAATAGCTGCAAATTAAATACGCTTATAGTAAACTGCTTTCTAAGAAAACTTTCCCCTTTAAATTAGGAATTTAAATTGTAATTATTTAAAATGTTTATAAATACATATATAACAGCATATAAATTAAATAAATGATATTTCAGGAGTTGAAATACATCAAGTGGCAATACCTAACCAGGAGAGGAGAATATGACTAATTTTACTTGCACTGAAACAATTTACATGGCAAAGAAAAGATAATGATACAGGCAGCCTATCAGAAATTACCTGAAAATACACAAGGTCTTTAATTGTATAGATTTGGCCTTTTACTCTTAATGCTGTTGGATCAAAAACATCTGAAGCATACATGAAGATTGGGTACCTGTATTAGGCTTGTCTATATTGCAAAATTTACCAAAATAACTATAATAGTATAATTATCACCAATAGGGTTACGTTAGTGTAAAGATAATAGAAGTAAGTAGTAAGTTTTTTGGCAAAAACAGTTGACCTGCAAGGCCACTAGAAAAAAATCAAGGGAAATAAAGTCATTACAAGCAATTAAGCAATCTCTTTGCATGAGTTTACACTGCAAGGAGTGATGGGAAAATATTTTCCCCAGAGCCACTTTTTGCAGAAAATAAAGACATGATTCAGATAATTAGATATCAAAAGCAGTGGTGTTGGAACAAGCTGATAAATTAAATGACCCAGGAAGTGACCAAAAGTTCTGTAAGAAATTAAGAATGAAGTGGCAACTGAACTGCTAACAAATATGTAATTTCTCATTATATCAGATGTTAACCTGAAGACAGAATACAGAGAAAATTAAGTTAACTGGGAAAAGTATGAAAATTATTATAAGGTTCAAAATATGCATGATATGGACAATCACCTTCTAGCCTTCAGAGTCATCTGCTGAAGAGTGTATATCTTGTGGAAAATTCCACTTTCCCAGATTCATGAAACATATTATACTTTATGTAGGGTTTTACGTGTTTTGAAAGGTTGGATT